GGGCAGCGGTGCCGCAGCCGCCCGCTCAGCGCCCGCTCCGCCCGCAGCGGCCGCCACGGCCCCCGGTAAGAAGATCACGGCGCGGCTGAAGCGGACGCTGCCGGTGCGCGGCCCGCAGGCGCCCACGCTGAGCGAGCTGATGCGCTGGTACTGCCTCAACACCAACACGCACGGCTGCCGCCGCATCGTGGTGTCCCGCGGCCGCCTGCGCCGCCTGCTCTGGATCGTGCTGACCCTCAGCGCCGTGGGGCTCATCCTCTGGCAGTGCGCCGAGCTCCTCATGAACTACTACAGCGCCTCGGTCTCCGTCACCGTCCAGTTCCAGAAGCTGCCGTTCCCCGCCGTCACCATCTGCAACATCAACCCCTACAAGTAAGGCTTGGGGAGCTGCTGCGAGGATGGGGGCTCCGCGCAGCGCCGCGTTCCTCCCGCAGCTCGTCCCGGTGCTCCCTGTCAGCGCTTTCCCCGCCGAGGGTTTGCCCTGCAGGGCACCTGGTGTGCCACATCCCCCTCTGTGCCGCGTGGCTTACACTCTCACCCCTCACTGCTGCCTGCTGACCTCGGCTCGCTTCGTGCTGCTTTCTGCTCCAGACAGTCCCTGTCACCTCTTTGGCTCTCCTCAAATTCCCTTCTTCACAGGACAGAACTTCCAGGATTGCAAACAGCATCATCTCCTAAAAAATGTAAAGGGCACATCTCTCACTCCTCTCTTGCTTCTTTCTTTCCTTATGGGTGGTTTTGACATGATTCATCACCAATACTTTTTCTCCTGTCAAGTCATGCTTTACCTTGCTCTCTGTTCTGCTGCCAGGGTCCCACCCCGGTCCCCATGGGATCCAGCTCCCTGTGACGCTTCACAGATGAAGTCTTACTTCCACATACTCTGCCTCCTCAGACTCCTAACATAAGGAGCTTGAGAGTCTTGGCAGAACTTTCTCTGTAGCTCAGTCTGCTCTGCTTCCTGGGGTCCTTCTCCAAGATCTCTCCGTGGACATAGCTGTGTCTGCCCTCACTGATGTGAGCCTGGTGGGAGGCTTCCACAGGGAATTCTGTCCCGAGCCATGGCATGCACAGTGCAGCAGGCAGAGAGCTGGGATGGGATCTCACTGTCGCCTTGTCTCCCGTGCAGGTACAGTGCCATGAAAGAATATTTATCTGAATTGGACAAAGAGACAAAAAAGGCTTTGGAAACTTTCTATGGATTTTCTGAGGGCAAGTCCAAGGTGCGCCGGTCGGTGGATGACTGGAACAGCACAGGCAGCGACTTCTTCGAGCAGATCCCTCTGCTGAAGGTCGAGGACTTCTCCAGGACAGCGACTGACCTGCACAGTGGGCAGAAGAGGAAAATAGAGGGAAGTGTCTTTCACAAGGACTCGTCCATCGTGAACTCGGGTGATTCCAATGACATCATTGGCTTTCAGCTGGTGAGTGTCCCTGTGCCCTGTGGGGCAGCAAAGGGCTGTGCTGGGGTCAGTGTCCCTCTGGCAGGTTTATTGCCTGCTCAGGTGGCTCTGCGGTGCACAGTGGTGAAGAGCACCCTGTCTGCTCTCCTGCCTAAGCCTCCATGGCTGCTGCAGATTCACCTCCAGAGAAATACCTTCCTGAAGTCTTCCCAAATAGTCAGTGTCATCTGTGGCCTTTCTTTTGGTCCTGAAATATTTGGTGATATCACTTAGCCCTGCATAAAAGGTCTTTGATGCCCACTGTAACTTCATACGTGGTTATTTCTGTGGAAGAGAAACACTGTCAGATGTACAATCCTTAATTTACACCTGCCTTGTAGAATCCCTGATTTCAGTCCATCTGAAGTGCTTTTTCCCCTCTGTGCTTGTCAGTGTGACGCAAACAACAGCAGTGAGTGTGCCCTGTACACGTTCAGTTCGGGTGTTAACGCTATCCAGGAGTGGTACAAGCTGCACTACATGAACATCATGGCACAAATTCCCCTGGAGACCAAAGAAAAATTGAGTTATTCTGCGGAGGACCTTATACTGACATGTTTCTTTGATGGCCTATCTTGTGACAAAAGGTCAGTGCACAGAAAATTCCTGCCATCTTAACAGCTTATTTCCAAGTTCATAATGTGTAGGAATGGAATATTTGGTATTTGCAGAATTCCAGCAGAAGCTGCTGCTAGTTCTGTGAATCTGCCTCCCCCGTGCTATTAACCCCCATTCCCACGTTAAAACTTCCTTGAGTTTCCATCTCCTGAAATACTAAACTAGATCATACTGCTATGTAGTTTCAAGTTACTCAGAAAGAGACCCACATCTTTCAGCAAAATGAACTGATTGAAAAGAAGTTTAATAAACCCCCATGCAGTCGCGGTCTGTCTCTGTCAAAACCGAAGTCCAAATGTGCTGCCTTTCTCCCACAGACAGAACTACAGGGAACAATGTCATGATATTCGATTTCTTCCAGGCACTTCACTCGTTTCCATCACCCCCTCCACGGCAACTGCTACACCTTCAACAGCGGCGAGAGCGGCACCATCCTGAGCACCTCCACGGGCGGCAGCGAGTACGGTGAGTGCCTGTGCCCTGTGCACACCTGGGCCATTCCGGGGCCCTGTGCACACCTGGGCTGTCCCGGGGCACACTGCACACCTGGGCTGTTCTGGGGCACACTGCACACCTGGGCTGTTCTGGGACCCTGTGCACACCTGGGCTGTTCCAGGGCACAGTGCACACCTGGGCTGTCCCGGGGCTCTGCACACCTGGGCTGTCCCGGGGCCCTGACACACCTGGGCTGTTCTGGGGCACACTGCACACCTGGGCCTTTCTGGGGCCCTGACACACCTGGGCTGTTCCAGGGCACACTGCACACCTGGGCTGTCCCGGGGCCCTGTGCACACCTGGGCTGTTCTGGGGCACATTGCACACCTGGGCCATTCTGGGGCCCTGCACACCTGGGCCATTCTGGGGCCCTGACACACCTGGGCTGTCCCGGGGCTCTGCACACATGTGGCGTTCCAGGGCTCTGCACACATGTGGCGTTCCAGGGCACTTTGCACACATGTGGCGTTCCAGGGCACTTTGCACACGTGTGGCGTTCCAGGGTGGTTTGCAGAGGAACTGTTTGATAACAAGTGGTTCAGCAAACTGGATCCTGCTGGAGCGTGAGCGATGTGTTGGCTGTAGATGTACAGGCTGATTGGGGAAATGCCTGTTTGAACTAGTGCAGGCTCTTGCCTGAGAATACAGATAATATCATTGCATCACTAATGTTTTCCAGCTGAAATTACTGCTGCCCAGTTATATAACTTTTTAAAGTGAGTTCCAGCCACATTCTCAGCAGATGTTATTTGTTTGCTGTACTCAGTACCACCAAGGGATGTTGCTGGCTGCAGGTGTCTTGGTCTGGATGGGCAGAGGCTGTGCTTGGCTGTTACAGTTCTACTTAAGGCCAGATAACATGAAACAAACCGTGCTGCCCTCCCTGACCAGAAAACGTGGCTCTAGCTGCTGTGTAACTTCCTGCCTTGTCTCTGGTTCAGGATTGCAGGTTGTTCTGTACATCGACGAGGCAGACTACAACCCCTTCCTGGTGACGTCCACAGGAGCCAAGATCATGATCCACGACCAAAACGAGTATCCCTTCATTGAAGACATTGGCACGGAAATTGAGACTGCAGCAGCCACCTCCATAGGGATGCACTTTGTGAGTGGCAACAATCTCCTTTTCAGGCACACCTTTTCCTTGGTACCGCTGTAAACTGGAACTGATGGGGTGATTTCAGAGAGCCAGCAGCTCGAAGGCCTTTAAATACCTCCCACTCAGCAGCTGAAGTGCCCTGAAGGAAATCCTGTGACAGCACTTTTCTGCAAAATAGGCCGTGGGAAAATCAGGTCTTTCTAAACCAAACTGGCCTGGGATATTGTTTGTTCTCCTTTTTCTTCCACCTCTTGGCTTTCCAGGGGATTTTTGGTTTTGTTTTCACAGCAAAATCCACAACCACAGAAATGTATTGTCAAGTGCCTTGTTTGGCTTTAGCAACGAGCAGGGAGTTTCACCCCAGAGGGTCCCTGGGCAGAGGAGCCAGAGCTGGAGCTGTGGGTCCCCACGCTGGGGTCGGCTCCTTAGGAGCGGTGACAACACACCCCCTTGAACTGTTTTGTGAATGCAGACCTCATTTTGCTGGTTTTCTCTCTGTCCCAGCAGTAAACTGCTCCCGTGGGCAGCAGCTTTGCTTTTGCCAGCAGTGAGCAAAGTAAGGAGAGCTGCAGCTCCTGCTTTCCCCATGTGCTGTTGTTCAGAGGAGGCATTTGGCCCGGGGGGGGTTCGGCACAGCAGCGAAAGCTCTGCCAGGTTCCCTTTCATCTGGATGGGCTGTTAAGTGAGCACTTCAGCTCTGCCTTTCTTTCTGGTGGAGCATCGGCCATCCTGCTTATCTGGATGTGCCGCATCTGATGGGCCCTGCATTAGAAAAGGCATTAAAAGAGGGCTGATGTTTTACAAAATGCAAATAGTTAACTGTCGTCCAGCTGTCTGGAAAACTGGCAGCAGCTCCTTGGTCAGGCGTGACTGAGAGGTTTGGCAACCAGGATGGTGTGAGGACACAGTCTCTCAAGACTCTTTGTCACCATCACACTGTACAGAGAAGGTCACACAAGGCAGTCTCAATATTTAATGTAATATGTTCCTAACACAATAGGGTTGAACTTTTGCTATAGTATAAAAAGCAAGATAAATCTTAATGTCTGTATATAAAAAATTTGTCATGAGGAAGGGATCCAATTGCATCCTAATGAGGTAGCCAAAATAGAAGCTGGACACAATTTCTGGTCTCAGAAAAAAGCTGAGGATCACTGTCCTGCTGGGAAAAAAACAACTCCAGAGAGCCTGCTGAGTGCTGGGGGGTCAGGACTGTCAGGACAGGGTGCCAGATCAGTGCTTGTCCCCACGTGCAAGGTCACAAAGGAGGAC